GTGAGCTTGTGTGTTTCCCTTACTGTGAAATATTTTGGTGCTCTTTTTTCCCTTCTACTGTGTCATCCAGTGTGTGAATCACAGCAGGAGTTTTGAAATTGGATTCATGAAGGGGAGTTTCAGTCTTTTTACACCCACTACAGTAAGTTTCAAAGAATTCTCCATGGGGTGGGTGCCACCATGCCCTAGTAGGAAAAAATTCTCTAAAACTCACAATGTTCAAATGTTAAGCTACTATGCACCTAGACTTCTCTAGGCAGTAGGTAAGGGCTGAGCAGTAAAGTAGGAAAGTAAGGTAAAAGCAAAAGAAAGGAAACAGAAATAGTAGGTAAAAGCAAAGCAAAAAGAAGGGAAGAACTAGAACAAAAAGAGGAGATAAAAACAAAAATCATGTTGCAGAAAATAAAATTGGGTTAAAATTGGAAAACCGTGTAGTAAGCTTACATGCCATGTGAAGGGACAGCAGAGACAATTAGCAATTGTGAATAATGCTTCAATTAACATGGATGTGCAAGTATTTTTATGACTGACTTCCTATCCTTTCGGAAGATACCCAACTGTGGAATTACTGGGTCATATGGTAGTTCTCTTTGTGAGTTTTACTGTCACCACTATTTAAGTCTCTTAGTGATGACTACTGGTTTTCCAACTGGTCCCTGGTTTGTAGTTTTCTCTCCCCACCATCTCTTCCTGCAGCTCCCTAAGGTGAGACTAAATATAAACTGCCTGACAATGGTAAGAAAAAAAAAAAAAAAAAAAAAAATTCCAAGCACCTTGTCATGGCCACTTCTAGAAACGGCATAATCAGCATAACTCATGTTAATTATGCTGCTCCAAATCAAGTTTCAAATCCAATGAGGCCATGCACCTGTAATACCTGTAAGCAAATTACAGAAGAAATGAAGCCCCTGAGATTTTAATGACTAAGTGTGCACAAGGCACTCACTATAAATACACAAACACACTTAATTTTTTCAATCTCATTGGATTTTCCTTCACTAAATTTTCATTAAGATGGTAAAAAACCTGTGCATGTCTAATGCTGAGGATCTTATGGTCTTGAGTTCTAAATGGTCCTAAATCCTGTATAATAGGCTCTTCTGAGTTTGACGACTCCTAAAATCTGTCCTCAACATATTATTTGACTAGCAGGTAATATTCAATCTGTGTTATTGATACATAAATGTCCTTTGCATTTGTAGTGGAAGCAGGTAGTTGCTTACTTGAAGTATATTCTTATTTATGTATTACTCTTTTATTGTCATTTATTGATAGGTATTTTAGCATATGTTATGTCATTTAACAGAATGACACCACATAAGAACAATATAATTATTTCATTCCTAAAAATAAAGATGTAGGCTCAGAGAGTTATTTAACTATTTCAAGATCATATGGATAGAAAGTAGAAGACTGGGAATATATTTCTAGAGCTTTTGGTTGGAATCTTACTTTATTTTTATTTATCAGGCTAAGGTTGATAATATGTTTTGCATTAATGTCAGTCATTTTGTTTATATTTGTTTATGAACATGTGTAATAAACATAAAAATCTAGAGATTTTTTATTTTAAAATTCCTGATATGATCCTCAGAATAATTAATGAAGTTAGAGATAAAGTATTATTCCACTATGGCATCAAGTTAACTTATACAAAAACTAATTGAATCATTTGGTTTAATCATCCCTACATAGAGTGTAATTCTGTCATTCTAAGATTGACCTAGAAGGGTATTGATAATTATTCACATGCATATTTTGTGTAGGCATATTTTAAATGTTAAGATTTTTTTTTAAATGGGGGGAGCAAATAGTGCCAGCCGATTGCATGGCAGTTAAGATGACTGGATCCCATATAATTGACTGCATGACTGGAGTCCTAGACCCGGTGGCCTGAAAAACACACTGGGCAGGTGTGTATGCATGCTCAAAATCCTAAGAGGAGAATGGAGAAGAGACTGCAGCCTGGCCATCATAGGGAGGAAGGAGGCGGGGAATGCTTCCTCACTTTCCCTCTTTTTCTCTCTCTGTCTGTCTGTCTCTCTCTCTCAGGGGAGTGCATGCACCTTATAGTAAATTATAAAAATAAAATTTTAAAAGCAGAAAATATTACTTTTGGTCATTCTGGGACCTAGGTATAGTCAACTCTGTTGCTCTCAGAAGTAATCACATTCGTAACATTCTTCAGGTACATCCATGTTGTGACAAAAGACAGAATCCCTTTTGAAGCTCAGATTATTTCATCATGTATTGATGCCACAGTTCCTCTATCCATTCACTCATTGATAGACATCAGATTGTTTCTGTATTTTCACTATCGTAAAAAATGCTACAAAGAACATGAAAGTGAAGATGTTTTTGCAAGGTGATTGATTTCATTTCCTTTGGCTCTATACTCAGAAGGATTGCTGGGTCTACAATAATGTTCTGACAGGTCTTTCTGTTAATTATCTTGCTATTCTGCAATTTAGTCCCTTTATAGCAGCCAGTGGTACTTTATTGTTAAATGAATTAGTTCCTGAATTGTATTTAAAACTTTTTTTTGCTTCTCCTTGCACTTAGAGTAATGTTAAAGCTCCTTATGGCCGACACAGCCATAAGTTGTCTGGCCTCTGTTCATGAGTCCTTGGTGTATTACCCTACCTATTCCACCCACATTGGCTCTGCTGTTCTTCCAGGACTCAGTTATCACTCATTTCAGGGCCTCCGTATTTATGTTTGTGGTTGCTTATTGAAGAACTTTTATGGTGGGTGTTTTAAAATCTTTGATAATTTTAACATTTCTATCTCAGTATAGGTATCTATTTATTCCTTTTTTCTCCTTCGTGATGATGTTTTTCTAGTTTTGAATATGATGAGTAATTTTTGGTAAATCCTTGATGGATCCAAGAGGTGCTTCCTAATCGCTGTCAAGTGGACATTAAAATCCAGGTCCTGAAATCAGCAAATGGCATAATGGTTACGTCGCTGGACTCTCACATAGACAACCACGGTTTTACTATGTCAGCTTCAAACTCAGGCAAGTGAATGCATGTCCTTTTGAGGCAATCCCAAGAAGAGAATGGAGGAGAAGGGATTGTGGTGTGGTCAGACTCCCTGAGGGGTAATATTTTTCTCTTTCTGTCTCTCTGTCTATCTCTCTTTCTCTGACAAGTGCATGCACCCTACAGCAGAAATCTCTCTTGAAAAGAAAAATCCAGCCAGACCCCTACATGGTCCCCACTGACAAGTGTTGTCCGAGGTGGGCATGCAGCGATGAAAGTTTCAGCTTGCTGGGCACTATTGTGGCACCACCCTAGGAGAGGGCTGGGATACCTCATTATACCCTGGTGAGGACGGACATCTCTGCTCCTCATTCATCTTTGGTAGTGAGACTGTGTTTCCTGTCATTTTTGTCTGGAGTAGAGTAGTTACTGCCCAGAAACTTTCTGTCTTACTCAACTGCTGCCTTTCCAATCCCTTGGGAGCAAAGAGTTAGTATTTGTTGTTGTTTTTTTTTTTTTTTTGTTCTTGGTTCTCCCCCTGCCATATCTGTGCTGCTGGCTTCTCCTAAGTCTGGGACTTAGGAGACAAAAAAGGTCTACAAATTCACTTCCATGTCATTCCTTGAGTCCTAGGTTTTCTAACTTGTCTGAGTTTCATTCTCAAACTTTCAGATACTCCTTAAGTCTGTTTCACATACAATATCTAAGACTTAGTTATACTTATTGGCAAAACTAAGCAGAAGTACATTTATTTCCTTTTTATAGAAATAAAGCTCTACCATTTATTTTGAATTTTGATCTTATATATGAAAACATTGTAAAATTCTTTTTTAAAATTTGCTTTTGGGACCAGCAGTTGGTGTAATGGCTATGTCGCTGGACTCCCATGCAGTCAACTGCAGTTCCAGTCCCAGACCCAGTGGCTTAAACTCACGCCACCAGGCACATGTGTGTGTGTGCCCAAGATCCCAAGGGGAGAATGGAGGAGAAGGGATTGCAGCATGGCCATTTCCCCTGGGGAGAGATTTCTTGTTTTCTGTCTCTCTGTCTCTATCTCTCTGGCTAGTGCACGTGCCCTATAGCAAAAACCTCTCCTCCCCCCAAAAATATATATTTTTTTGCTTTTAAGGGTAGTATATAGATCCTTTCTCTCTAATTTTAGTATCATATTTATTTTTGTAACCTACTTAAGCATATTATTTTGTATTCTGGATTAGATAATTCTATTAACTGAAATCTGAGAGTTTCACTGTGTGTTTCTTATTTGCACAAACTCTTACTCCCACATCAATAAAATCAAACCAGAGGTTAATGAGCAGTGCAAAATTATTACACAAAAGGAGAAATGAGCCACTAAGAGTAAGAGTTCACACAAATAAGAAATGTATAGATAATTGTGTTCTGATCTGAATCATTGATCTTTTTATGAAAACCTGTGACATTAAGATAATACACATAGTCTTTCTCTTTTTTAAAAGGTTTTGCTACAGAGCATGTGCATTCGCTAGAGACAATGTATAGATAATTGTGTTCTGATCTGAATCATTGATCTTTTTATGAAAACCTGTGACATTAAGATAATACACATAGTTTTTCTCTTTTTTAAAAGCATGTGCATTTGCTAGAGACAGAGAGAGAGAGACAGCAAAAAGAAAAGTGAGAAATCACTCCCCAAGGGGATGGCCATGCCACAACCCCTTCTCCTCCATTCAGTTCCTGGGATTTTAGGCATGTAGCACATGCATCTGACATGATTTTCAAGTCACCAGGCCTGGGACTCAGCTATATGAGAGTCCAGCACTTTAACCACCACACCACGTGCTGATCCTAGCATAGATATTTTTATACCATGCATAATGTATTGTCTTTGTAAACATTTCTTGAAATATAAGCATTCAACCAAAGTGGGATCTATATTTTGAGACTGAATGTTGAAGGAAATATATTAATTTTGAGATCATTAATATTTTTCTAATATCCATTGCTTTTTTTATTTCAATAGACACCATTGTAAAAACGATGGAGACCAAAAACCACACAATAGTGACAAACTTCATTATTTTGGGGCTAACAAAGGATCCTACACTTAGTTCCATCCTCTTTCTAGTATTCCTAGGAATCTATGTTGTTACCATAGTGGGCAATTTCAGCATCATCCTGTTGATTCGAAGCAGCCCTCAGCTTCACACCCCAATGTACCTCTTCCTCAGTCATCTGGCCTTCGTGGACATCGGGTATTCCACATCGGTCACACCTGTCATGATAGTGAGTTTCCTAAGAGAGAGAACCGCTATCCCCGTTTTTGGCTGCATAGCCCAACTTGGCTCTGATGTTGTCTTTGGCACAGCTGAGTGTTTCCTGTTGGCGGCCATGGCCTATGATCGCTATGTGGCCATCTGCTCCCCACTCCTCTACTCCACACACATGTCTCCCAGGGTCTGCATCATCTTATTGCTCACTTCCTATCTGGGAGGATGTGTGAATGCTTCATCATTTACCGGCTGTCTTTTGAGCCTGACTTTCTGTGGTCCAAATGAAATCAATCATTTCTTCTGTGCCCTCCCACCACTGGTGAAGCTTTCTTGCACACACATCTATATTGCTGAAATATCCCCTGCCATCTCAGCAGGGTCAATCATTGTGATCACCCTGTTTATCATAGTCATTTCGTATCTGTACATCCTCCACTCCATCCTGAAGATGCGCTCTACTGAGGGGAGGCACAAGGCCTTCTCTACCTGCACGTCCCACCTCACTGCAGTCACTTTGTTTTATGGGACAGTTACGTTTGTTTATGTGATGCCAAAATCAAGCCACTCCCCCAACCATATTAAAGTGGTGTCTGTGTTCTACACGGTGGTAATCCCCATGCTGAATCCCCTCATCTACAGTCTTAGGAACAAAGAGGTGAAAGAGGCCATGAGAAAACTGATGGCAAGATCACTGTCCTCTTTTTAAAAAAGAAATCCACATAAATCCTGAAATTTTAAGCAATAGTGTTTTTTTTTTTTTTTTACTTTTTTTTTTTTTTGAGAGATTTTCACTATAGGGCGCGTGCGCTCGCCAGACAGACAGAGAGAGACATAGAGACAGAAAGCGAGAAATCACCCCCCGGGGGGATGGTCACGCCACAATCCCTTCTCCTCCATTCTCCTCTCGGGATCTTGGGCACGCACGCACACGCGCCCAGCGTGAGTTTTTAAGCCACCGGGTCCGGGACGTGAACCGCAGTCGACTACGTGGGAGTCCAGCGGCATAGCCATTACGCTAACTGCTGGTTCCATCAAGCAATAGTTTTCAGCTGTTATGGAGGTTTACTTTTTCCATTAGCCTTATCACATGTGAAGAGCTGTTTTGGGAACCAGCAGTTAGCGTAATGGCTATGTCGCTGGACTCCCACGTAGTCGACCGCGGTTCGTGTCCCGGACCCGGTGGCTTAAAAACTCATGCT